GAGATAAAACTTCGGCCTCAATCCATTTAGTGAAGTAATAAGTGGCAACGATCATCATCCCCTTCTTGGCAGATGCTGTTAGCACATGTCCCACCAAGTCAATGGCCCACTGCATGAATGGCCATGCACTGTTCTGCAGATGGTATTCCTCAGCTGGCAGGCCAGGGACCGGCTTGTAGCGTTGGCATCGATCATATCTTCGAGCATACTCTGTGGAGTCTTGGCACATGGTAGGCCGAAAATAGCCGATGCTGAGAGCCTTCTGAGCAAGCGATCTGCCCTCAGCGTGATTTCCATATTCGCCGTCATGTATTTTGCAGAGAACCTCGAGTGTTTGTGGGTACTTGATGCAACTGTGGTGAGGCCAGAAGTATGATATGCAGATAAACGTGTTGCCTTTCATGTAATATCTTGCAACCTTCTGCTTAATTTTTCTAGCCTCGGACTTGTCCTCGAGCAGGTTTTCATTCACTAAGTAGTCAATGATGGTGTCTTGCTAGCTAGGATCCTCGTCGATCTGCATCAGGTTCGGCTGCTTTGCCTCTTCTATGCTAGGCTGGTCAAGATGCTCAACCGGAATGGAGCGTCAGAATTGGGTATCCGACGAGTAGTCAACTCGATCAATTTCCTTGCACAGGGCCTTCTATGTACTTCCTTTAAGTCGAAGACCTCGGAATTGGTCATTTACTAGTTTCTCGACATCCTCTGCCTGCAGGGTTGGAGTTTCGGGCCGACGTTTTTGGTGCCTCGAGCGCAACTTGCTAACTTCTTCCTCGGTTCCCAAGGGTCGATCCCCTCGGGTGCTCTGCCTGTGGGGCAGATTAGGAGATTGAGCTTGTGAGGATTCCTCTGTAGCTTGTCACCACGTGTTGGTCCTCCAGCGGGCTGGTAGGCGTCGATCGTCATCCTCTGCTCGTAAGGAAGGTCGGTCAGGTTGACGTCTTCGGTGCCTCGAGCGTGATTGGCTAACTTCTTCTCCAGCTCCCATGGGTCAATCCTCTTGGTTGCCCTGCCCGTGGGGCAGGAGAGAAGATTGCGTTTGGGAGGATCCCTCCACAACTTGTCGCCGCGTGTTGGACCTCGAGCGGGCTGGTAGGCGTTGATCTTTGTGCTTGTCGAGCGACCGCTCACGAACTAGAGCTCCTTGTGGACCCAAGCGAGCACGGACATTGGATTGTGGGCCTAGCCTCTCGAGCACATTGGTCCTGAGACCTAACCTCGAACGGCTTAGAGTACGGCTCGCAGCTGTCTGCGTCTCGTCTGCACAATCTTGCTCTCTTCCCTGCCGGTTTGCCCCTGTCTGACCAGCCTGGGACCTCTCGAACTACTCGTCAGCATGCTCGTGTGCCCTTATCTCCTCGTCACGGGGTCCAAGGTTGAGGCCTTAATTCAAGTTGATCTGCCTGAGTAGCTGGCCAATCAGGTTGTTTTGATCATCGACCTTCTGTGTGAGTTGATCAACCCGTGAGTTAAGGTCCACCTGACTGTGCGGGTCAAGTAGAGTGGTGTGCATTGGGCCCAATGGCATGTGGGCTAGGGCTCCATTAGACGCGTACACAGGTGTATATGTCAGGTGTGATCGCAGAGGATGGAGAGAATGGATCTGCTCCAAGACTGGGACGACGTCAGAGTAGCCGTGGGGCTATGCAGCTAGTCCGGTAGTTAAGTGGTGGTGCTGCTGCTGTGCTCCGACTGCAGGACAGTGAGGCAGAGCAGCTCCGGTAATCGGCGCTGGCGACTGCAAGGCTATAGAGGTCCTGGGGTCATGTGATGGTTGTTCTGCAATTCCAGCAGCTGAAGGTGGCTGCAAAGCACTAGAAGACTGCTGCAAGGTGTTGGCAGCCATGATTTTGTGCGGTTGCATTGAGGTTTCCACCACGAAACCATGAGATGGGCCCGTCGTGGTGGCGTTACTCTTCGTACGTCTTGTATCAACCATGGTTGTTTGAAAAAATGTGTGAAAGATGGATTTGGAGCACGTTTTGAATATATCTCGTGCTCTCAATGAAAGCACCAATTTGTGGGAGCAAATTTCGTTCTACTAGAATATTCGTATTCTCCACTTCTCTTTCTCCCTGCAAAACAAATCTGGGTAAAAGGACCACACTCGGGGGGTGTTGGCCAAAGGCCCTCCGATGCCTAAGTTAGGTAGGGTATTTCAAAGAAAATCGGGTGGCTGGAGCCGTGTGTGATGGCTGGAGCCTTGTGTCAGAGAAAGAAAGAAAGTGGTGGCTAGGGTTTGTGAGAAATAATTTCTGCAGAGTTTCAGTAGGAATTTAGACGTATCTTCACCCTTGTGTATGGCCATCTTTTTATAGTGGTCTCGGAGGCTTGGGTTTCAGAGGAATAATTCCGTAGTTGGTAAGGAATTATTCCTCCCCGATTTGGCATTGATTTGATTAATTAAGGATTTGATTTATTAGGGTAAGTCAAATCCCTAATTGTGGTAGGAATCAAATCAAATCTCAATTTAATTAGGTAATTATCAATTTAATTGGGTAACCCCCAATTAAATTGAGTAACTCCCAATTAGGTTGAGTAATTCCCAATTAGGTCAAATAATCCCCAAATGGAAGGAATTATTTGACCTAGGGTTTTGATTTAATTGGTTCCCACACTAGTGGAACCAATATCTCCGATTTAGTGAGTGTTATTTTTTATGTTTGTTTTAATTATTTATATTGGTATTTTAGAAATAAATGTGTTGATAAGTTTTGGTATTTTTCTTTCTTTTTTTAGCATCGCCAAACAGATGAAATTTATGGCAAGACACCATTTAAATTTGATCATTGTTGGGATATTGTTCAACATTGGGTGGGTTTTCAAGATCCACCAGAGGAAATATATGATACTCCATCTAGCCTAAGAATCATTGTGAGCTTTAATTTGGAGGAGGATGATGAACAAACACCACACAGTGTAGAAGATCTGTCTCCAAGTCAACCATCTATACCTAGGACGCTAGGACGAAACAAGGCAAGAAAAGAGAAGCAGCGGGCCAAGGAAAGGGATGCCAAGGCTGTTGGGGACGAAATTGTTTCCGCCTTGCGAACTCTTGCAGAACAAACCGCCAAGGCAGAAGAGGATAAGAGGAAAAGATATGAGCAAATGGATCAACAACGGCAAGAAGAGATGGATGAGAGAAACATGGCTAGGAATACCGCAGACATGACTCCAAACTCTAAAGAGTTTTTTGAGGGGAAAAAGAGGGCAATTCGAGAGAGACATCATTCTCGTGAGTTGTTTCCAAATACTAGTTCATCATCATATGACTATCGTCCAGGATTACAAAATGAAGATGATTTTACTATTTAATATTAGTAGTTTGTGTCTTTATATTAAAGTAGTTGGTGTCTTTAATATTTAAGTTGATATTAGTAATTTGTAGTAGCTTGTAGTCTTTATATTAAAGTAGTTGTTGTAGTTAGTGTGTTTATATTAGTATATTATTATATTATTGTGGTTGGTTCTTTTATATGAATATATCTCCAATAAGCAATAACTATTGGATTCAAGTTTCTGCTCAAAGAAATTAAACACTGTCGAGTAGATTTGATATACTTTGGAATAATTAAAGTTGGTGTCCTCCACTTTTTGTTAAACCAATGTGAATTAGACAGCAAGCTGTGCCAATATATTTATTAACCATTATTTAGTTGTCGAAAAGGGTAAGATCTAATACAAATGACGAACTTGAAAAAAAAAATAGAGAATCTTTCCGGAATGGTCAGTTCTATCACTTTGGTCTGAAAAATGGTCAGTTCTATCACTTTGTTTTATGTGCTTTTCAGAATATTTCTTTTTCTCTTTTGATAATGAGAAATCTAATATTGTTAGCTTTATCAATTGTTTTATGTCTGTTATTCGTTCTATTCAAACAGATCACAAGCCACACAGAGAAGTAATAATGAATTCAACACATCACGTAAATGAAAACAAACCACAAAACTCAAAGTAAAAACAAGCCACACAACTCAAAGTAAAAACAACCCACACAGTCATTGTTCTTGCCCTCGTATGTTCCAGAGATGTGCAACAAGGTCTTCTCGTAAGCCATTGTTTGCAACAGGACAACGTATTGCTCTATATCGACTCACGTATAATTCCATGGAGATTCTACATGTTCTTGGATCCCGAGGTAACTCAGCTCCATCATATATCAATGCACGGGCTCTCCTTGACCTATTTGGATCAGAATCTTCGTCATTTGACTCTCCATCATAGTAGTCATCCCGTTCGTCTTCCACAATCATGTTGTGCAATATTATGCATGTCATCATGATGGAGTTAAGTTTTGCTAGACTCCACCCTCTTGCTGGTTGCCTAATGATTGCAAATCGAGCTTGAAGAATCCCAAAAGCCCTTTCAACATCCTTACGGTATGCCTCTTGCTTGGTGGAAAAATACTCCTCTGCTGCATTCTCAGGATGTCTAATTGATTGGACAAGTGTTGCCCAATTTGGGTAGATACCATCAGCAAGGTAATACCTCATGTTGTACCGATGACTGTTGATGTAGTAGTCTAGTTGAGGTGAGTTACCCTCCGTAAGGGAATCGAAGAGAGGTGAACGCCCGAGTACGGTGATGTCATTTTGGGCCCCCGGGATTCCAAAGAAAGCATGCCAAATCCATGTGTCAAAAGATGCTACTGCTTCCAAAACAACGGTTGGTTTTTTTGATTTACCACTGAAAGACCCTTGCCATCCCATCGGACAATTCTTCCACACCCAATGCATGCAGTCAAGCGATCCTATCATTCCAGGAAAGCCTCGCCTCTCTGCTCTTTCTAGGAGCCTATTTAGGTCCTCATGTGTTGGTTGTCGAAGGTACTCATCCTTGTACGTGTGAACAATTGTACGACAAATTCACCAAGGTTCTCAATGGATGTTGACTCAGACATCCTCATGGATTCATTGATTTGATCTGCTAAGCTTGCATATGCCAACATTCGGAGTGCACTCGTAAGTTTTTGGTGAGGCGAGAAACCGAGATTACCAGTGGCATCAGTTGTCTGTCTGAAGTAGGGGTTGACATTTGGGATATCATTTACCAAATGAAGGAAAACATGACGCCTCATCCGGTATCGACGTCTGAAGTTCTCAAGAGTGTAGATAGGATTTGGGACGAAGTAGTCCATCATCAATTTTTGATGCCCAAGAGCTCGTCCCCTGCGTTTGTTACTACGACCAACAACAGAGCCACCCCACGGGCCTTCTTGTTGTATTTGCTCCTGAGTCCATAATGTTGCTGCAGTAGCCGTAAGTTGTGTATTTGTACGCATTCGAGCATCATCTTCTTCATCTTCTTCCATCATTTGGCGTCTGTGCTCCTCCCATTCGGAATCCAAGTTGGAACTTGAACCCCAGTTGGAATCCATTGTAGAATTGGTTGAAAAAGTGTAGAAGAATATAGGAATTACAAAGGAATGAGATGAAGTTGTGAGATATGAAGCGAAAACACTCCATTTATTGACATTTGAAGATGAAGATAAGAGGTGCCACGTCGGCAAAAATCTATTCTGAAATCTGGATAGTTGTTCCTAGATCGACACGTGTCACTCGGAAATCATAGCCCGAAAAATTATTCAGATTCCTTCAGGATAATACGTGCCACGTGGACACAAAATCTTATCATAAATGTTGTTTTTAATACATGTCATATATTATCTCTAAATAGTAGTTTAATTAAATTAAACAATATATAGTTGTTGAATGTATGAGTGTTGTACCATAGTTTTTGTCAAAATAATAAAATATCAATGACCCAAAAATATAGCCCTACATGGCTGGAGATGGAAAAATTTAGCCCTGCATTATTCTTTAAAAAATTAATATTTTGGGGGGCTAAATTTTTAGCCCTGGATTACATTTAGCCCTATGACTGGAGATGGCCTAAGTTAGGTAGGGTATTTCAAAGAAAACCGGGTGGCCGGAGCCTTGTGTCAGAGAGAGAAAGAATATGGTGGCTAGGGCTTTGGAGAAATGATTTATGCAGAGTTTCAGTAGGAATTTAGAAGTACCTTAACCCTTGTGTGTGGCCATCTTTTTATAGTAGTCTCGGAGGCTAGGGTTTCAGATGAATAATTTTGTAGATGGAAAGGAATTATTCCTCCCCGATTTGGAATTGATTTGCTTAATTAGGGATTTGATTTATTAGGATAAATCAAATCCCTAATTGTGGTAGGTATCAAATCAAATCCTAATTTAATTAGGTAACTCCTCATTTAATTGGGAATTGGGGTAGGAATCAAATCAATTCTCAATTTAATTAGGTAATCCTCAATTAAATTGAGTAACTCCCAATTAGGTTGAGTAATTCCCAATTAGGTCAAATAATCCCCAAATGGATGTAATTATTTGACCTAAGGTCTAATTTAATTCGGTTCCCACACTCTTCATCATCCTTGGCATCTTCTTCCATGTCTTCTTCAAGGCACACAGCAAGTGCATACTGTGAAGCCTCTTCACGATCACCAGTAGCGTTGTCCTCCTTATCCATCAAGATGTATAGCCAAATGAACCCTCGTGGAGAGCCAAAAGAAAAAATAAATGAAGAAAAGCCTACACTGGCAAAAACTATGCGATATCCAGAACCTGTTTTCCCACCATCACAATTACAATGCTAATTAATATTTACAGTCCCAAAATAGAACAAATCAAATTTATAAAACAAGCATATGATCATCCAAGAATACCATAAATTCCGAGAGAGAGATATATATATATATATATAATGCAAACAAAGGAGTAAGATATATATACACTTACGATCATCCAGGTATAAAGTTAAAGCCAATGCTGACACTCAATGTTTTCAAAGGCCAAGGCAAACAAAGGAGTAAGCTCAATAATTAAAATATGCATAGTAAATAACCAATCAAGCATAATGTTCAAACCGAAACATTTATATTACTCTAGAATCAATCCCAAGAAGAAAAAAAAGTGACTCATTCATTTCACTCACCATCATCCAAGATATATCACAACTGTGGTAACCAAATTAAGTCAAAACCCTAGGTCAAATAATTCATTCCATTTGGGGATTATTTGACCTAATTGGGAATTAATCAACCTAATTGGGAGTTACTCAATTTAATTGGGGGTTACCCAATTAAATTGAAGACTACCTAATTGGGTTGAGAATTGATTCCTAATTCCTACCCCGATTCTCAATTAAATGAGGAGTTACCTAATTGAAATAGGATTTGATTTGATACCTACCACAATTAGGGATTTGATTTACCCTAATAAATCAAATCCCTAATTAATCAAATCAATTCCATAAAGGGGAGGAATAATTC